TTTCCCTTTGCAGACTATTTCACAAACTAAACAGATGTCAGAAAGCACTCAGCTATACAGATATTCAACTTAAAGTTTACCTGTTTTTAAATTAGTTGTTTGGTGTGCCTAATTTTCTTCTAGTATTTTCCAATCTGCAGTTTTCACATTTTTATAGAGCTTGCAGACAGAAAGGACCAAAAGATCAAGGCCAGTCTTCTGTATCACAGGGCAAAGGTATTCCACTTGTGCAACACAAGGTAGCGCTACACTGGGATATACTATAACAACTCCTGTTATAAAAGCAATAGAGCCATCTTGGTGTGATGCTGCAAACAGATAATAGGCTCTTTTCTCATTCTAACATAGTGGTTAGAGTCAAGGCACAGCTCACTAGACTCAAGGCACCTCTTGAAAAATGCCAGCTCTTAGTTTTTCTGACTACAGAAAAATAATGGTGCAATTGTTTTGTTGCAAAGAACCCAGAAGACCACAACAGGTCAGAATGCTTAGGATTCCTAAATTAAAACTCTCTGTTTATCCCGAAAATGATATTTACACTCTAAACAGTGCTAACATTGTACGACAGTCCAAAACACCCTTGAAAACATCTCAAGACACCCTAGGGTGCCATGGCACCTGGCTGGGAATAACTGATCTAGCATATGTGCTTCTGGATTAGAAGCTAGAACATACAGAGCTAGCATAGGGTGTCAGCACAATGCAACCTTGCATAGTAGAGACATAACCTAAATTTCAGAACCAATTGATCCTGTAGTGAGGCTACTAATATATGCTCAGCTAAAGCATCTTCCAGGCCATTCTATCCAGCCTGCGAGGCCCCTCCAAAAAACAATTATTATTGACCTGTGGCTGCCCGACTGAAAGTCAGCAGGAGATGCAGGCTTTCAGAGGTTGTGCACCACTGAACTGGACAGGCTCTGTGCCTCCACCTCTGTGGGGCTCCTGCCACTACAGCTGGGAACCCCATGTGGAGGCACTGAGCATGACACCGCACAACTGGACATATGGTGAGTGAGGAAGGGAGCTCCCACCTGCAGTGCCAGGAACCCCACATGCTGGCACAGAGCCCTCCCAGCCCAATGGTAGACATGTGTGTAGGCCCCTCTGCCACAACCCCCCTCCCCCATGGTGCACAACCCCCACCGGCAGCAGTGGGAGTAGGCCCTTGGGGCAAACATGACCTGTGGCAGGCAGAGCCCCCCAAATTTGTGTGTGTGTATGGGAATGTGTGGGCTTAGTGAGAAGGTGTGCGGGAGATTGTGGGGGGTGTGACAGTGTGTGTGGATGGGTATGGAGCTTGTGGGGGGGGGCTCCCGAACCCGCATTGTACACAGGCTCCATCAACAGCAGCAGCAGCAGGCCCTCAGGGCACTCATGGGCCACAGCAGGTAAAACGCCCCAGCAGCACGTGACTCCAGCTGAGTTCCAGGAGCAGCATGTGGCAGCATGGAGCTGGCCTGGATCACTGGTGTGTGCTTTCGGACCACACCAGCCTAGGTCTGTGCCACCATGTGGTGCTCCTGGCACTGCAGGCATGAACTGCATGCCCTGGGGCCAGGCCAGGCCAGTTCTATGCCTCCATGTAGGGCTTCTTGCACTCCAGTGGGGACCCTCACGTGGAAGCAGAGCCAGCCCACCAGTGCACACTCCTAGCTGCAGTACCAGGAGCCCCACATGGTGGCATGAAGCCTACCCGGCTCAATAGCATACAGACTGGGAGCTGCGAGAAGTTGCTAGCAATCAGGCTGGGCAGGCTCCATGCCACCACATGTGGCTTTGCACTGGAGTGCTGGAATCCCTACACAGAAGAATAGAGCTGGCCTGGCCTGGCCTATTGGCACGCAGCTCCTGCCTTCAGTGCTGGAAAGCCCCATGTGCTGGCATGAAGCTCACCGAGTCTGGTCTGAAGACACACACCAGCAGGCTGGGCTGGCTCGGCACCTTCATGTACAGCCCCAGGGACGCAGCCGGAGCCAAGTGCTGCGGGGGGGCTCTCCCTGCCACAGGTCATGTTTGCCCCAAGGGCCTACTCCCACTGCTGCCGGTGGGGGTTGTGCACCATGGGGGAGGGGGTTGTGGCAGGGGGGCCTACACACCCACCCACAAACCCCACCCCCACACCTACTCACAAACCCCTACACCGACCCACACACACTACCACACCCAGATCCCCCCAGAAACCCCACATACCCCCCACTACAATACCCAAGACTACCACACAAGCCCCATATCCACCCACACTCCCACAGACCCCCCACACACACCTCAACCACTCTCCGCAAACCCCACACCCCTTCACAAACCCCCACAAACCCTACACACATCCCCCACACCCACCCCACAACATACCTCCTACCCACTTCGCCCACAAACCTCACCCTCCACAACCCCTCTCCAGACCCCCCACAAACCCCCCACACTGAGACCCCCACAAACCCCACACTCACTCACACATACCCCCACACCCACCAACAGACACCCCTACATTCATCCAAAAACCCCACACCCCCCTAAACCCCACACCACACACCCCCACAAACCTGACACCCCTTCACAACCCCCCCCACAAATCCGACACACATACTCACCCACCCCTCCAATCACACCCCACACACAATATACAAGAGTAAGACTTTATTTTGAGCTATTATGCAATTACTTCTATATACACTATGCAAATGTAAGTAAATCAGGACAAAAAATAATTTTTGAAATAAAATTAAAATAGGTCATAGTAGATGTTTTATTTTTAGTATATGACTTGGTTTTTTTTCCGGTTCCAAGATGGCAATCCCCTCCACCCAAAAGGAGCAGTCCTGGGTGCAAGGAGAGGGACATCCAGGGGCAAAGGTCAGGGGTTGGGGTAGGACTTTGCGTCCCAAGATGGTCATCAGGGAGGCAGGGCACCTGTCAAGGGACAGGACTACTCTTGCAGCCATCAGCAGTTCACCGAAAGCCATTAAGCAGCCCTCCTCCTGAAATTATTGCCCACTCCTAATGGGTACCCACTTGATGGGCACCCTGGTCCACTTCAGAAGTGGCACAAAAGCCAGCAGCTAGGTTACAGATGTACAGGGGGAGCGGAAGAACAGTAAGTCTGGAAGAAAGCAAGGGTGCAGATATGAGTTGGTTGAGGATTCTTGACTAGGACATTAAACTTGGTGGCTCAGTCTAGGCATTGTAAGAAACAAAATTTCTTTAAAGGTTGGGGCTTCCCTTAGAATGTTCAGTTACTGAAGTCAAGATGAGCTCTTTGAAGTAACTAGACTAGCCATCAATCCTGTGGCACTATCAAGATTCATCCAGTGCTGTTTGAAGAGATGTATTTGAATATTGAAGGCCAGGATTCATTGCAATGACTTCAGTTCATCTAATTTAAAGTCCTACTGAATTGATTTTTGTAATCATTAAAAAATTTCATTCCACTGACAATAGTCACCGTGAATTAACCAAGTCAAGCAGTTGATAAATCTGACCTGCAGGTAGGCCAAGTGTTAAATTTTTTTCCCAGAAAAGTCCAGCCTTTCCAGGTAAATCTGTAAGTATAAATATAAATTGACCAAGATGCTTATGTTTTTTGAAGAAAGCATCCAGCACTAAAGAGCTCATAACAAGAAGACTATAAAAATACTCAATGGTTTTCACTAGTTTTTGATACTATCAACCTGCTCTTTGGGGGTAAAGTGAAGGGTGGTGTGTCCAGAAGTCCCTGGGCAAATCAAAGTTGCTTTCATTCATGACCAAACACCTATAAGAAATGATGTAATATGTCCAATGTTTTTTATGCAGCCTTTCTTTTAAAGGGATTTCCAATGTATCTGTTATCCTTTGGAGAAAGTTTAAATGGCTTTCAAGTTCTCTGTACTGAAAGACACAGAAGGATTACCAGGTTTATCCGCAGATGAGAAATAGTTAGAGTTAAAGGATCAGAAAACTGATTCTCTTTATCGTACTTCTTAACTCAAGTCTTTGTGAAATGCTTCCTGAGAATCAGGTTGTAGGTTTGGTTGTTATATTCTTGCAGACCACCTGGCAGGAAAAAAAAAAACTTTATTCTGAAGAGAAGCTTGCTGTACAAAAAAGCATTAGTAATGAGGCTGAAGATTAAAATCCTAGAAAGCCAGTACAGCTAGGATTGCACACTAAAAGTTTATGGTACATGTGGGTGGCTGGAGGGGAGGAGTAAATTCCATTACTCATGGTCTTCCAAAACTAATCCTTCTGAGAAGAAAAGCAGAACTTCCTAATACCCTTTTATCAAGATCTCTCTCTTAGACTTACTCAGGTGAGAAGCAATTCTAGAAAAGTAGTTGAAAGAGAAATATAAAGGAAAGGAGTGAGCTTTTTGCAAAGAAGCTGCTGATCCCTGTAAAGTTGAAGGGAGCCAAGTCAGAAATTGGTGCCAAGAAAGTTGGGTTCTGCAAAATCTTCATCATTAATACTAAAGCTTCAGTATCAAGAGTAAATTTTAAGCAATTGAGCAAAGACATATATCAAACATCAGAAATCCGGAATGCAGTATTCACTACCAAAGTTAACTGCCCCAATGATAGAGGATCTGCTACTATATCAATCACTATGGAGTGGGGACGGTCACCAAAGACAATTTTCTCACAGTATGATACTAGAGTTTCTGAAATCAAGGTAGAAAGGTATGACAGAGGTAGAAGCAGAGACTCAGACTGACCACTGTGCAGTTAGTAGTGCAGGAGAATAGTCAGTGGTCAGCTTTGGCAAACAGAGCTGGCATTACATCAGAAGACAGTCTTAACCAATGCCAGGGATAATAAGCAGCAGATACAGAGTCTTAGAGCAGTACTCTTTTCTACCATGGTTGGCCAGAGCAACTGACTATCC